ATGGCAACGAGGACACGAAGCCAGCAGCGGGAAGAGGAGGCTATCCCCCTATCTAGAGAAGAATTAGATTAGCTCCTTCCTAGAGTACTAAATAAAAAAGTGCTAGAGTAGAATAAGTTAGAGAAGCTTTAGCAAGAAGCGACAGCGAAGGATTGTGTCTACTAAAGAGCGAAGAAGGTAGTAGAGGACTAAGAGAGACGTTTCCCTGTAAACTTAGGCCTAAAGTGCTTAATTAAAGACTGCTTAGTAGATAGTAGAGTCCTATTTTACTAAGGGCGCAAGTGGGTGCTAGACAACGACGAGTTGCGAACGGCAATCATCAGCAGTGCCTACGACTCACTAGTCACTAGTCACCTAGGGCGCGAGCTAACGTACAAGATTCTCGCAAGGGACTACTTTTAGCCAGGCATGACCAATTCGATCCAAAGATACGTTAGAAACTGTGACACCTGCGGACGGAGCAAGTCCTGGAGAGAGGGCACGCAAGGCCTTCTGAAACCACTGCCGATACCCACTCGGATCTGGAAGGAGATCTCCATAGATTTCGTCGAAGGACTACCAGAGAGCGAAGGCATGACTAGCCTGATGGTGGTCACTGACCGGCTCAGCAAGGGTGCGATCTTCGTACCACTCCCGGATACGAAGACGGAAACCGTCGTCCAAAAGTTCATTAAGCGCGTGGTTGCATATCACTGGCTACTAGACGCTATTACCTCTAACAGAGGCAGCTAGTTTGTGAGTACACTATGGGCTAAACTATGCGAGCTTCTAAAGATCAAGCGGAGACTATCAACTGCCTACTACCCGCAGATAGACGGCGCAATAGAGAGGATAAACAGCGTCTAGGAAACCTATATCTAATTGTTTACAAACTAGGCTCAGGACGACTAGGCACGGCTCTGCCTAATAGCCTAGATTGCGATTAATAGCAAGAATGCAACGTCAACTAGAATGTCACCCTTCTTCTTACAGCATAGACATGAGGTAGAGCCGCTGCAGCTAGAGCTTAGCAACGAAAGATAACAACAGAAACTAGCCAAACAGCTTTTAGACGAATAGAAAGCAGCAGAGATCGCAGTTAAGCTACAACAAGCTATAGAACTAGCCTAGGCAGGCATGGCGGTTGCTCAATAAGAACAGGAGAGACAGGCGAACAAGACTCGGAGAGAGGCACAGAGCTACCAAGTAGGCGACAAGGTATGGCTGAAGCTCGATCAGTAGTACGGCACAGGGCGAAGCTCAAAGAAGCTCGACTGGAAGAACGCTAAGTATACAGTGGTGAAGGTAATCGATAGCCACTTAGTTGAATTAGATACGCCTCCAGGACCACACCTTGTTTTTCATGTTAATTGGTTGAAACTCGCTAGCAACAATCCCCTCCTAAACTAGGTTCAGGACAACTATTAGCCACAGCCACTACAGGTAGACGGAGAAGATGAATAGGAGGTAGAGGACATTATAGCAGAAGAGGTACGCCGCCGTGGGAGAGGGCGTAAGCTATACTACGAGGTGAAATGGAAAGGGTTCCACCAAACGACGCTTGAACTAGCTGAGCTGCTAGAGGACGCTGAGGCAGTAGATTGTTGGGAAGCATTCACGGAGGCCAAACGAGACAGCGAGGGCCGCCTCCTAGAGGGGTTTTGGAGAGGCGATGC